AGTTTGCCATCAACAAATTAAAACATAACTTAATTTGTATTCTTTTCGAATGGTTTTTGGGATGTATATATAGACATCCACGTTTATTTTCTATTTAGAAATTGTTTTATCTATACATAACATCATACATATTTATTATACGGTTAAATCTTAACTATCCTACTGTTTGTCGTTACTTTTATTTTGGCATTGCACAAGTCATGTCTTCTATGATTGTCCATGGCGTTAAAACACTAAATCCCTACCTGGGATGTGTTTTAATTGATTTTTGTCTCTGATGCATGATTTTTTTATTATTAATTGTTTTTGGCTTTTAACTAGCTTTCAGTAACTGCGAGTAATCTCAAATCGTACTTTCGTGTTAATTTGACCTGTTGACACAATTTGTAATGCATTTCTGTTATTTAATGTTTACTTATTTTGTGTTATATCTCGTCTTACTATTTTAATATGTACCACCTTTGATAAGTATTTAGTATGACGAAAAAATGTTCACTTCTGTACTTGTACTATGAATAACAAATTTATTTTGTAAAAAATGTTTCTGTACTCCTAACAACAAAATTATTATATTTAAATTTACCTGTGTACGTTACTTTATTTAACGCCATTTTGTCCTAGGTTAAAGTTGTCTTTTTGACATTGAAACATCTTTTTTATTTATATTGTGTCATAGATCAAACTTATTCGTTCAGTGTATATTTACTTGTTTTTGTGTATTGTCTTTTTGATCGAGTTAAGTCATTTCAATTGCTATTTTTTGTGTGTCTTTGTATGTTGTAACGTTATACCACTGTTTCAGGTTAGGGTGAAGGTTGGCGCCTGTTAAAACGTTTAAACCCGCTGCTTTTGTATGCACCTGTCCTAAGTCAGGAGCCTGTTGTTCAGTAGTTTTCGTTTGTTAGTGTGGTTCATAATTGTTTCTCGTTTTTATATAGATAAGACCGTTGGTTTTCCTATTTGAATTGTTTAACACTAGTTTTTTTTTGGGGCCCTTTATAGCTTGCTGTTCGGTGTGAGCCAAGGCTCCATGTTGAAGACCGTACTTTGACCTATAATTGTTTACTTTTTACACATTGTGACTTGGATGGATAGTTGTCTCATTGGCACTCATACCACATCTTCTTATTTATAATTAGTCTATTTCTTAGATACTATACTATAAGCAATACGATATCTATAATTGGTACATATAATGATTGTAAGGTGTATATATTTGTCTGGCAGGTATCGTCTGACCTTGGTCTCATTTTCATGGTTTATTGATTTATGTAAAAATGTTCGTGGTTTGGTCAGGTTCTTGGACACCTTAAACAATATATCAACTAAGATTGTAAGGTGTACATGTCTGTCTGGCAGGTTATCATCTTACCTTGAACTCATTTACACTGATCGGTATGCACTCTTGTTATTTGATAAATTGTGTCAATGTAACGTTAATGTCAAAATGATTAAATTGAATACATAAAATCAATTGAAGGTGTGAAAAGGTTTGACTTCTGTATTTTAATCAATGTGAAGAATCAAATGGATACTTATCCAGTCAAAATATCAATACTGCGCCATTGTGAAAACAGAAGTTTAATTCTTAAGCATAATTAAATTTTGTTGAATAATGATCTAGATATTTGTATAACTTTGTGATGTATCCTAATCAATACATCTTTTAAATTTCTCGATAATAGGAATTATATTTATATAGGGGATAAGAGGGGCATCGCGAGTATCATGAAAGCTTGTTTTAAAACCCTGCATTGGTTATGGTATAGAATGTTTGCACTTAAATTAATTAATCATATGAATGAGGTCAGATGAGTGGGCTCTGTATCTTATCTGTCTCATTTAGCAAGTGAACAGATGGTGTCTACTTCTCTTATAGACACAATAAGTGTAACGAAATATTCAATATGACGTAAATATCACCTCCGATATCGGTTATTGGAAATTAATTTACACAATTTTTACAGATCAAAGCTATCTGTTAAGCATTCGTGATCTAAAAAAAATCAGATTAATGTAATTTAAGATCAACGATATAATATAATATCTATACTACTAAAATAACGAGGTCTAATTTGTTAGCCGGCATGACGTAAAAACGACGAATCAAAGAATTCAACTTTATATATAACTAATATAGGACAATGGTGTTGATTAAAAATTACACCATTTAATGCCCTTTTGTTTTCCTCATAATTAATATTACCAATAATGGGGCCCCTCAATAATTAACAAGTTCCGGGTCGAATCCGATACCGATACAAATAGTTTATGTCACATGTATAGTTTCCGGTTGTAGTAAGAAAACCAGAACAGGTTCAAACAGAAAGATTTTGAAAGCAGATAAAACTGTGCACCTTATAATCAGCACGACTTTATCAGATAACAATACGAATACAAAAAATCCAAAAAAATAAGGCGGAGGTACTTTAATTCAGTCACGGACCCGCGTGTTCTAGTAATACTCTGATTTAAATAAGTCCCAAGCCTCAATAACTTGACCTAGCTCAGCCTACTGAGCGAAAACACTGGATAGATACACTCAAGAAAGGCCTGCCTTCATGAATTTTTAGATTGGTCAAATGTGCTTGATCTCAATAACGCTTTGTTTATATATATTTCCGCTTATTAAGATAAAAATGTGGGATTTAGGATCTAGTGCTAAAGATTAGTTTAACCCCAAATGTGTCTGTCCAAAGTGAAGAGCCGTGTAACTGTTTGTCTTTTGTTATGTTTTAACGATTTTGTCCGTTAAAGGATTTGGAGTTGTCAGCAGGTCTCTATAAAACTTATTGACAGCTTACCAGCTTACAATTTTCCGTGAGCGATTGAAAGTTTGACATATAGCATAGACAGTTGCCTATTTTTATGAACATATACTGACCTGTACAGTATATGTCTTTTTACTTGTATTGTGCTGTTGGTTTGTTTTCTTGTTGACATATAACTCCTCGCATTTGATTTTAATCAAAATTTCGAAAATTGATAAAAACGTAAGACAAACGTCACATGAAGCACTGGAAAATAGCCACATATTAACGGAACAACTATTGTGGAATTTGCTGAAAGGTTTTTTAGAATGAGCTATCGTACCTTACAGCTTCATATATAGCGTCATCTAAGCTGTATTCTATTATTCATAATCTAATGGAAAATACAAATATGTTGATGACTTATGACTAAATAGAAAATACACTTAAATAGTAGTACTGAACTTGCAGGAAATGCAAAAAGGTGTTATAGAAGCGGAAGCGTGAGCGCAGATAGGTTTTAGTTTGACACCCCAAAACTTTTAAAGTATTTTGACTTTCTGAAATTCTGATGTTGAATGTACATGTTGAAGGTTATTCCAAAACACGTGTCGTGGGTATATTTTACCAAAAAGAATTCTGTAAGGCATAAAATTTAGCACATTTGTTAATTGCAATGGTCAACAGTACTTGACATATTATATATATAGCGGATGAATATAAAATAAAAGGTTCACGAACACACTGAAAATCATATGAAAGGTCCGTTTAAATTCGGTTAGTGGTTCAGACGGAGTTGTGTTCCAAAATGCTAATCTTCTTGGGGATATGGCAAAGTCTTTATTTTGCTTAGGGAAACTCAAAATCGTTTGGATCAAAACAATACAAAATATGAGATAACACTAAAGGAACTGAAAAATTAATAGTTCCATTGAAATGCAGGTATTGTTTCGGATAAGTTACAGATACAGAGTATGTCCTCTCTATAATAGACCAGAAAAGGTCTATTTTTGCAATTGGAAACTTTTTAAATTATTTAGATAATAAATTAAATACACGATTGCATTTCAAGTTCATTGAAAACCAGATAGTGATTTAGAACTCGTGGATACAAACACCTGCATAAACGGCAAAGTCGAAGTTTTACTATGGGAAATCCTAAAAATCATTTTGAAAATAAAAAAAAAAATAATTTGGAATTTGAATTTCTCTGAAAGTTTCAATGAAATCTAGTCCTCGGGTAAGGCGCAGTTGCAAACGCAAAATGTGAATTGACCGACGAAAAAACAAACAAAAGAAAAGGACGCGACGATCAGTTACTGTACCTGTTCAGTAAGCAAGGAAAATGCTTGAATGAATTTCACCCCAATTAACAATCTTAGTTATTAAAGCTACTCTTAATTTCTTTTAAAAGATTGCTGTTTTAGACATTTTCCGCATAAAACTGAGTTTAATTCATGAAATACATTTTGTAGCCACTTGACTGTAACTTAAATTTGTATTGTTGGCCTTTATTTGTCTTTTGATTTTGGTGTGTTGATAGGATGCTGCCTCATTGACAAATACCCTACACCTTCATTTATTCATATATCATGTAAATAAAATCTATGATTCGGAGTTAATCTCCTTTATCATTATTGTTTTGTTCGATCAATGTGGTATAAAATTTCAAGGAAAATTCATAAATAAAACAATCTGATTTAAATCTAGATAATGTGTTCAAGCTTTGATTACAAGCAAAGCTGGGACACAGGCTCTGTAAATTAATCAGATAAATTCGAGACAGAGCAGACTATTATCGTACCAAATCGTATCCCTACGAACAGTTTATTTGGTTTTTCGTTTGTTTGTTTTCTTTTTGTTTTTAGTAAAACTACACAATTGTCCTATAGCTATGTGCAATCAGATGCTCGGTTTCCTGAATGCTGATGAAATGTTTCACATTCTTAATTAAACAAAGATTTAAGCGTCATTGTTATACATCTCCTACTCATAACACTTGCTTTATTGGTTTGAAGAATTTTCGCAAAGTATTAGTTTCCTGGGAAATTCAAAATATAGAACAGTGCTGACGATCTAGTTTACGTAGGTTTTTCAAAAGACAAAAATTCTTCGACATTCAAAGAATACGAACATCCGTTTTATTTATCAAATCAAGTCATTTAAATTATCTGATTTTTATTAGAAAGATAATACATTTCAAATTTGAAATTGATTTCAAATATGAGAATATTAATTAGAATATCCTACCTTGATACACATTAATTTCCTTGTGATCATGGATGTCACAATGTTGCGATGAAACATTAAGTCCGGGTAAAACCATCATTATGTATTGACTAATATTCTCAAAGGACTAGTAGATACTCGAATCTATTTAATCGATTTATTTTTTTTACAGCAAAATTAATCTAGCAAAGTTGAGTTTTTTTTTTTTATAGATCACCGTTTTTGCGTTGTTAAACAGGTGTTGTTAACCTCGAATAACGGTCACACGTCCCATGGCAGCAATAAACTTTTTGTATTATTCCCTATCCCCCGGTGTAGCATGTTTATGAAAAATGATAGTAAACAAGTTTTTTTTTTCTGTATCGTATGTATAATATGTTATTTTAATCAGAACAATACAAAATGTTTAACTTACGGAAAAGAAATACTTACTGTAAAATTAGACAAAATTAGACACCCCGGTGTACATGTTAAGTTTGAAAATAAGCACTATATTTTTTTTAAAAGACAGTCAAGCCTATAAACAGAATTGCTGAAAAACAACAATAAAAATAATCCACACAAGAGGAATCGTACATATATGAAGATTTGGTAATAAGAATCTCAAAACGAGATGGCATGGAAGGTCATATAAGCACTCACAGCTACAACTGTACTTCTACCTAGCTACCTATTGTGAAATCAAACGAGTAAAAAAGGTGTCAAAATAAAATAGACAATATAGATCCGATTATCTTGGATACTCTGTAATAAGCAGTCTACTTTAGGATAGCATCTACCAAAGAGAAGACCACTAGGAACTCTTGCTGGAGATTTTATATCACCAGGAAACCACATATTGTAGTCGCATAAAAAAAATCGCCACTGCTACCTGGATGTTGCTTTAGAAAAAGAGATTGACAATGAGGAACTTTGTGTTTTCGTATTTTGGTGTTGTTGTTTTTCAATCTTTGGTAAAACATTTATTTAGTATTTAAGAATATAATATTTTTGTGCTGAAAATTATATGATTTCTAATTGGTAATTTCAATTTATTCAGGGTGGAAATTTGTTTATTGGGAAATAACTGAAGCCGTGCTGGCACAATACAAACTTTATTCTAAAATTCACAACAGTAAATGGGAATGTTTCATTGACGCATAACCCATATCTCCCTTTTATTGATACTTTGCCGCGATATAGCCTTTTGGTGGTGATGTGGCGTAAAGCAATCACCAATCGACCAATCAATCAATCAATCAATCAATCAATCAATCAATCAATCAATCCATTAATCCTTTTCTAAATAAAAATGTATAAAAACGTTTTTCATGGGTCAATGTATTAACATTAAAGTTTTTTGTTTGTGCTACAGAAACGACAATTGAGAACACAGAACCAACAATTTACAATAATAATTACAGGTTGACTGATGTTGTGACACATTTTTATGCCATTGATAGTGACAAAAATCTCGCGAGAGTTAGACGAATCGATTTTGATTGATATCATTGCAAGGACTAGATGTGATACGGTGAAGATAAAGAACAATTACACATTAAAAGTCAACATGTACGTTATTTTGTTTGGCGGCATTTTGTCCAAGGTTATGGTTGTCTTTCTGATATTGTTAAACATCTAACCCCCTTGTTTTATTAATTTTGTATTTACATTGTGTCATCAAATTCATTAAAAGTCAACATGTACGTTATTTTGTTTGGCGGCATTTTGTCCAAGGTTATGGTTGTCTTTCTGATATTGTTAAACATCTAACCCCCTTGTTTTATTAATTTTGTATTTACATTGTGTCATCAAATTTATTGGTTCAGTGTATGTTCACTTCTTTTTGTAAATATGTCTTTTGGTTGAGTTAAGCCATTTCAATTGATATTTTATAGTGTGTCTTTCTATGTTGTGATGTTACACTATTGTTTCATGTAGGGTGAAGGTTGGCGCCTATTAAAACGTTTAAACCCGCTGCATTTGTTTGCACCTGTCCTAAGTCAGGAACCTGATGTTCAGTGGTTATCGTTTGTTGATGTTGTTCATAAGTGTTTCTCGTTTCTCGTTTCTCGTTTTTAATATAGACCGTTGGTTTTCCTGTTTGAATGGTTTTACACTAGTCATTTTTGGGGCTCTTTATAGCTTGCTGTTAGGTGTGAGCCAAGGCTCCGTGTTGAAGGCCGTACTTTGACCTATAATGGTTTACTTTTACAAATTGTGACTTGGATGGAGTGTTGTCTCATTGGCACTTATACCACATCTTCTTATATCTATATATAAGTAAAAATAATTCTGCACCACTATCAAAACTTCAGAGGTGCAACAAGAAACATATAATACGGGGTGCTGACTGTAGATCTTTTAGAATCAGATGGTAATTTGACGGCTCTCGTAGGGAAATATAAGGTAACGAATTAATCTTATTCCCCAATAGTTCCAGACTTGGTTTGGTAATTTGTTTCAAATGGTCTGTCGGATTGTAAGCTGTCAAGAGTTGTGAAATAATATTAACAAATCTGAAAATTATCAGTTGCTGACAAACGAATTAAGAGTAAATCAATTGATTTTAGATCTGTTGTCAGATTTCAGACGAAAAAATAGAAATTTAGTATTGACAGGGACTTTTGATTAAGGCAACCAATTTGATAAATAAATTGGTCAATAGAATAAGTGATTGCAAAATGAGGAAAATATTAGATTTGTCTTTTAAAATGTACTTAAACTACAGGCTGATTTAGTATGTAAGGGCCAATGCAATAAATATGTTAATTTAACTCGTTTTCATTTACAATGACTAGATATGAGTTTTGAATATTTCAATTTATTTTCATCATCTGCATTATAAACAGAAATATCTGTGGTGGTCCCTCTACAAGATATCTGATTGACTATGTTTACAAGTTTAAACGTTAAATAGGGGTGGGGCGACCATGAGTCAGGATTTAGATTTACGAGAAGACATTTTTTCGCGATTCGTGTCATATATAGGTATTGTCAATGGACGACTTGGACTCTGAGGTTCTTTATGGAACCGTAATATTGAAAGGAAAGTAGGAAAGAAGAGTATGCAGTATCCGCAAGATACGATTAAACAAATGAAAATAAAGAATAAAATAAAAATAAAACTTTTTGCAGGTTTCATATTTTGAAGTGGTAACAATGGAAGCCCTGGAGTGCCATGCAAAAATAAAATTACAACTCGTGCGCACAAGCTGTAATCTTATTTTTGCATGGTACCTCAGGGCTTCCGTAGGTAACCACAGAAAAAAAACATTAAAAAAAATGTCCTAAATTCCAAATAAAAAGTAGAAATAAAAACATTGGATGGTATTTAAATCGAATGAACAAAATAATGATTTGCACTGCATAATAAATTTTATGGCGATAAACAACCAGTGAGGACAGAACTCGGCTTTGGAAATTTAAAAAAAAATGTATTAGTGAATTTAAGGATTACGATAAAGATCTGTTATTAACGTGCACTACACAAGGCTAAAGGTTTGTTTTCGACTATATGAGTTTGAGAGTCCCATTGGTATCTTTCGCCTCTCTTTTGAATACTTTATTGCAGAGACCGGCGTATGGCATACCGTATCACTTCTAACGGAGTACGTACCATGCAGCATTTTCAAAAGAAAATGGTCTGTAAGCTAAAAATGTAATCAGTATTATATATAAATGTACCAACGCCAATTGAAATATCATAAGACCATATAAAAACAGCCGACTATACGGTATGATCCCATATATAATGCATTACAATTAGTACACACCATATATATTAAAAGATATTAACTTATATGGCTTTTGTTATATGATATTTTTGATAAGTAAAGGTAGTTACGTATATCTTCTTTCCTTTGTTACGGATTGTATCCCTTCTTATTATGATTAAATAACAAGCTACTTTCTATTTACTTGGAATATTTTGAAACGGATATTTAAGGTTGAAGGATCTAGAACTGTGACTTTAAACTGACGTCATTAGAGAAGAAGGTAGAACAATCATACTTAAAGATGGATAAAGAACTATCAGTATATACAATATATGTGCAATATACGACATAATATAATAAAAAAATATATACATTAAACAATTCTACCATTTAACTTTTATCTATTTTATCTATTTTCCCGCGGATTAAAGCAGCACCTGATTAACACATAACGAATACTACAAAACGTGTCATAATGATCTACATATAGTTTTCTCATCGTGAAATTTTCTGTTGTTAGTTAACGTTATGAAGCCTTACTGAATTTTTCGCATTTGATGGGTTTTGTGGCTGATTTTACTAAAGGAATCTTATCCTGTCAATCTTAATAGATAAAATGCAATACTCCGTTGTAGGGTTAACAAAACAGATCCGATATAGTAACTAGTATAAAAGTTACATGTACTATTTACTGAAATCTTGATTCTTTTCAGTTTTGATATGTAGACTAATTTGATTAAAATGATTCGTAGAGACAAACTGAGTATCAGCATCATAATTAAACCGTTTATATTGTATCATAATTATTACTTTTGTCAATTCAAATGTAAGTCTTCTAAAATGCTGGGTAAAACATTTGATTTGACCGTGTCCATTGACTCTTATTATAGAGGTTGGCTATACTATGTGGTATCCAAGTATTTCAATATTAAACTACCGTCAGAATGTAATCATCAAATGGAAGTAGGGATATATGTTATTTTTGTTGTATTTAAACACATTAGAACTGAATAAAAAAAAACTCGTATAAACCACATAAGCCACGAAAACATTATGTAATAAAGGAATCATGTAAAATATAGATACATTTGTAATACAAACATAATGATATAATATAAAAAAGGATATATGGTATGATAGCCAATGAGACAACTATCCATGAAGATAAAAGGACAAAGATGTCGACAATTACAGGTCACCATATAGCCTTCAACATGAGCAATACCCACACCGTATAGTCCGTTATAAAATGCCACGGTGTGACAAAATGTGAAACAATTCAAAAGACAAAACAACTTTATTTATATTGCAACAATGAGCGATGAATGAATGGGTCACAGGCATTAAAATGTGGCGGGATTTAATAGGTTTATGATCGTGAAACCTTACGCATAACCGGGGACA